AAGGGTCCTGGTAGGCAGGAATGAGCTCTAATATGTCCAATATAGAAAGCCTTTTCTCGTTTATGAATGTAAGTTTGTAGCTGAGTTAACAAAGAAAAAATGGCTGTTCTTCCTTGTGGGAGAGAGGCGGTCTCAATATGAAATAATAATTTAACTATATATTGAGAGTCAGTGTACAAGTTAAAGGGAACCTGTTGCAATTGTTCAAAAGCATAAATGACTGCAAGCTCTGTTGCCCGGGCCTGGGGCATCCTGGGGTCTAGACATGTCCTTGTGTCAGAGACCGCCCCCCAGGCCCCGTGGACACCCCCGGGGTGGATCGCTGCAGTTACTCACACCTCCTGGAGAGGTGGCCTGAGGGTTTCTGGGGTGGGGAGGAGTGGGGTCCCCTGAGTGGGGTGGGAGCCTCTATCAGTCTGTTGGCTTTTGTCCTGTAGCTCAAAGCAGCTGTATCCAAACAGTTTTGGATACACAAGCCCACACATCAAGGCCAACTCCAGAACGCTCGCTGGGGAGCAGTGGCTGCCAGAAGGGGCCACCCTCCCATCAGCCGTCCACAGAGCCAACCGAGGCCCCCCAAGCAGACACACTGGAAATGGTCCTCAGCGCCCTGTGAAGCTACAACAGCCAAAAGGGGAGCTCAGAAGGGAATTCCACGGCGGTGGGAAGGATGCAGGGGTCCTTCCTTCCAGAGCTGGGGGAGGCCGCTGCAAGGGGAGGGTCTGGAGAGGCAGAAGCAGCCGTGGGGGTCAGCGGGGGCCCCCTGAGCAGCCTGACTCTTGGTGTTTGTGGAGCAGGGACATGCGGGAGAAGGTGCGGGAGCACGTCTTGCACTGGTACTTCTTGACATCTGAGTGGGTCTGGAGGTGGGCCCGTAGGTTGGAGCGGTTGGCAAAAGCATGGTTGCAGTGGGAGCAGGAGAAGGGCTTCTCCCCGGTGTGGGTCCGGACATGGCCCTGTAGCAGCCAGGGCCTGGAGAAGGCCTTCCCGCAGGTGCCACAGACGCAGGGCAGGGTGTGGCTTCGAATGTGCATCTTGAGGGCACCCAGTCTGACGTATTCCTTGTTGCAGTATTTGCAGTTGAAGGCCTTGCGAGACCGGGGGTCCTTGGCCCCTGAGAGCCCGGACCGCTGCTTGGGCAATGGGCCCAAGCCTGGGAAGGCAGCATAACCGTCAGCCTCCAGGGAAGAGGCTAAGGTGGAGGAGGAGGACAGGGCTGGCGAGGGTGGGCTGGGAGGCTGGGAGCCTTTCCCACTGTCCTCGTCTGACAGTGAGGTCAGCTCAACAACCTTGGGGATCTCCCGGGGTAGAAGGGAGGCCCAGCCAATTGGCTGGGCTTGTGGTGCCAGGAGAGAGTCCCAGATGAGCGTGGGCAGTGAGGCCGTGGGGTTGAGGACCTCAGGAGGCGGGATGGCCGCCAGCAGGTGGGCCTGGTCATAGGGCTGCTGGAAGGTGAACTCTGGAGAAGAGTCGTGCAGCTCGCTGTAGTTGGGCCTCAGTCGGGAGCAGGCAGACTTCCTGACGAGGAAAGAGCGCGGCATGGTGGCTGAAGCAAGCCGGGGTCCACGGGCTGTGCTGGCGTCGTAAGGACCCTCCCCCGTTAGGCCGAGCCGCTGCGCTGTGTTGTTGGGGTCCAACCCCAGCAGGTCCAGGGGTTCCCAAAGGTGTGGACGGAGTCGGCGAAGAAGAAATGACACCGAGACAGTGTTCAGTTGATCAGCAGCCTAGCAAGGTTCTCTCCAGGTTCTCCAGCCAGGTTCTGTCTTTATTCTCCTGTTACATCTGTATTTATACCAGTTAATTTTAATCCTATCCATTCTATTCCAAAGGTTAGGGCGTTTGTTATCTCCATTCCAAGGTCACTACTCTATTGTTCTGTTAAGCTACAAGGAAGT